TTTTTTTTTTTTTTTTTTCCGCAGCCCTTTCCTGCATGCTAGTCCCCTAAACCCTTGACTTGTGACTGCCCTAGCCAGCCTCAAGGGGATACACCAACAATTGTGAGACAAAGAATATATTCCCTTCTGGATACACAAGATGCCATCTGCATAGGGTAAACACAGCATCCACAACTCTTAAACCCAGTTTAGGCCTCAACCGACTTCTCTCATCACCGTTTTGATCATCATCATTGGATTTCAGGTTTCAGGGCTTGACAATATCGGCCTAAACCCGAACCCTTTCCAGCATCCTGATTTTGGGGGTTCCAGCCTCATTCCAGAAGGTGATCGACACGCCACTCTTGCCGGCTCGACCAGTCCGGCCGATTCGGTGAACCTAGAAGTCTTAAAGGGTTAACATTGGGTCCCTTTTGGAGGGGTCCCTCAAAAAAAGAATATCTTGGAATATACGAGGGGCCCCTGACTTCTGTAAAAGCCCGATATGGACACGCCGGTTTGTGTCAGATTTCACAGTGCTGTGTAAGAGATTTCGCCTAATCCTCGGTCCCTACCTTTGGGTCTCTTGTTTGAGCGGTGCCCATACTATGGATCTTCAGTGATTTGGGGAAGCCGATTGCAGCTGTTGCTCTACATGGTGGGCTTAGATCAGGATTCCGGGCATGCGGATTGAGATTCTGTATGATGGTTGGAGGGTCGAATCAAGCCTCAAAGGGGTTGAATGCTTTAGAGGGCCGTAAGATCTTGCAAGTACAGGAGAATCTCTCATCAGGTGAGTTGCTTTCTGGGGGATAAATCCTACCGCTGCACGGCTTATGAGAATGGTAGCACGAGAATGTTCTCAGGGAACCCAGTACACGACAGTCCTCATTCTGGGGACCCCCCAGAACGGTAACCCTTATTCTTCGGAAACCACATGGCGGTGTTTAGGGTTCCTGTGTTTCACAGTTTACCTGTAACCGCAATGACCTACAGTTTCATGGGTTATACCTACTAATTAAGGGGTACTTACTACTAAACTGTAGGTTATTGGGGCCACAGTTTAGCAACCCCGTCCCACCCTCCCTGAGCCTTTTGCGCCCGTGCGCGTGGCGCAAGCCGATCGGTAGGTTGCGAGGTCAGGCGCGGGGCAACAGGACATGTAATAATTGTAGAAAATATATTGAGATCATGCATATTATGTATATATATTTTGGGGTTTAGGGTTTAGGATTTTAGGGGATATGTATACATGTATGTAGAAATTATATGAGCCATAGTCTAAACTCCTAGTATCCCCCTTAATAACCCCTATACTACTCCCCTATAATCCCCTCAAGGAGTTTAGATTTTAGTTCATATAGAGATCATGCATATTATGTGTATATATATATATACATATATATAGAGAGAGATATTATGTAGGGATCGTATCGGGATCATATAGGGATGAAAAGGTGATCTTACAGGGATCATATAGGGATTATAAGCCCAAAACGCCAACCCTAAACCCAAATGGTAGGACAAGGCTTTGGGGATCTGCTTGAAACAGGCATACTGCAGGACAAGATTCGGGGACCCCTATGAGAACATGGTTTAGGGTTTGGAAGGGTTAGGTAGGGATAATTTTTCAAAGTTGGGTTACCCCTACCCTCCCTGGAACAGTGGTAGAAGTTACAATTTCAGATGGCTCTAGGGATCCTAAACAACAGAAAAGCCATTATTTTTGGGAGCTTGCAGGCACTGACTGTGGGAATACGGTTTTGGTGATCGCTTTGAAGGGGTTACGAGGGTCATATGGGTAGGAAAGAAGATGGAAACTACTCGATGCTCGAGGGTTTGGGGTCTAGGGCCCTGATAATTCGAACAGTGAAGATCGCATGGAACAGAGTGACAATGCCATGGACAACTGGGTCTATATAGGGTTTCTACGCGCTAAGCACTTCAGGGAGACATTCACATCTGCAAGAAGCAGTAAATACACATGATATGGCAGTTTCCAAAATTAGGGGACGGCAATATAGGGGTCCAAATTTGGGGGGTTGGGGTTACCAAAATCCTCCCATTGGAAGAACGTCCAGAATGATGTCAGGCTGCAGCTTCAGGGTTAAACGGTTTAGGTTGGGTTGGGACCTTAATCCGCCGACCTTGGGGGGCGTGTTGGATGGTTGCCGAAGCCTCTTCCTTTCTCCCTTACAGCCC